ATTTAAAATATGATTTATATGTTTTGAAAAAATTATTTATCCAAATTTTAAATATAATTTATATATTTAAATATAATATTTATTTATATATAATATATTATAAATTTTAATCACATACAATAAATATTTAAGATATACATTACACATATTAAAATAATATTATATAAAAGATAAGGTGATTGAAATATGATCATGCGTATTTGTAATTCCTCTTCCAAAGCTAAAGTGAATTTTAAAGTTAGAATGTTTGCTTTCTATCTGAATACCATTTCAAGAAAATTTTCACCAATCATGTGCTTTCTGTCTGATATTGTAATTTTCTATCTGATTGAAATTATCATGTTTTCATATTTGACGGACTCCTCTTTGCTCTCACTATGTGTTTTTGCAGGCAATATATGGATCAAAAAGAGGAAACTCGTCATTATAGGTAATAAATCATTAAATCTATTTTGTTTTATGTTTTATTTCCGCATCCATCAATTCCTTTAATATTTATGACATATCTTGAAATTTCAATACATCTAATCTTACAAAAGGAATCATTGCATTATATAGGAAAGCTTCAATATAGGAATACTCACGACAACCTCTCTTTAACAGAATCATTTTAATTTTCTGTTACATACCAAAAATCTAATAATACTTCTGTCACACACTCTTTATTATTAGTTTAAATTTATTGAAAATCACAACAATATTATGTAAGTTTCATTCCATATTTTATAGATTCCAATAAATTTTAGCTAATAATTAAAAAAAAATGTTAGAAAGAGACGGAGAGTGAGTTGTCAGCGTTCCTTTGAAGTATTTCACATGTTGTTCAATGTTGCTCATATACTGTATACAGGGGTTACTGGTGCAGCAATTGCAGGAGTGTTAATATGCATCGCAATTCTCTATTTAAGATACAGATCTTCAATCTGGAAAGGACATTTTACATTGACTACAAAAAGTAACCAAATTGAAGAATTCCTTAAAAATCATGGTGCTCTAACATTAAAAAGATATAAATTATCAGATATCAAGAAAATGACCAACAACTTCAAAATTAAGTTGGGGCAAGGTAGTTTTGGTGCTGTTTACAAAGGAGAGCTACTTAGTGGTTGTCCTGTGGCTGTAAAGATATTGAATGCATCCAAAGGAAATGGTGAAGACTTTATCAATGAGGTGGCTAGCATTAGTAGAACTTCTCATATTAATGTTGTCACTCTTCTTGGATTCTGTTTCGAAGGACACAAGAAAGCTCTCATTTATGAATTTATGCATAATGGTTCACTTGAGAAGTTTATTTACAACAAGGAACTCGAAGCCGCTCCATCACTGAGTTGGGATAATTTGTGGCAAATTTCCTTAGGGATAGCTCGAGGATTAGAGTATTTGCATAAGGGATGCAACACTCGAATTTTACATTTTGACATAAAACCACACAACATTCTTTTGGACGAGGATTTTTGTCCCAAAATATCTGATTTTGGGCTTGCAAAGGTTTGTCCAAGGAAAGAGAGCATTGTTTCCATGTCAGATGCCAGAGGAACAATAGGGTATGTAGCTCCAGAAGTATGGAATAGAAATTTTGGTGGAATTTCACACAAATCTGATGTTTACAGCTATGGGATGATGCTGCTAGAAATGGTGGGTGGGAGAAAGAATATTAATGTGGAAGCCAGTCACACAAGTGAGATATACTTTCCACATTGGGTATATAGCAGACTAGAACAGGGTGGAGATTTAAGGCCTGATAAAGTGATAGCCACAGAAGAAAATGAGATAGCAAGAAGAATGACTGTAGTAGGTTTATGGTGCGTTCAAACATTTCCAAAAGATAGACCTACTATGAGTAGAGTAAGAGATATGCTAGAAGGTAACATGGATTCCATAGAAATGCCCCCCAAACCTGTTCTTTCTTCTCCCACTAGATCCGTGTCATATTATTCTACCACTAGTTAACGTAAATTTCTTTGCAATTTGAGTAGATCTTGTAAAATGGACCACTCAACATAATAATTTTGTGCATTTTGAAGCCTAGTGGATCTCTTACGTGTGTCAACATATTGAATGCAAATGCTTGATGAAATTGTGCTATGCATAGAGCTAAGAGTTGGGGTCAAATAAAATATTGTTGTAGGTAATGTTAAAGTGGCTGAATCTGATCAAAGCATTCCTTTCTTGGAAGTCTTTCACCCTCTGTTCTTGAACTTTTGTTTTCCTCTAAGCCCACCGGCATTAGAGACTATATTGACTTTTGTCGGTAAGTATCAATGTATAATAAGAGTTTGCTATACATGATACGAGCTTGCTATTGGATCTAAAGTACTTCTCAAGCAGTATATAGGTACTTCTTAAATAAAATTCTCATTGTCTTTTTTTTCTTTCTAATTACATAAATAATAATAATAATAATAATAATAATAATAATAACTATTAGTTCTAGCAAATTTCCTAGAGTTAGGTTTCTATTATGTCATATTAAAAGTTTTGTCAAGAAAAGTTCATAAACACTTTCCTATTAGGTTTCTTTGTGTCTTGTTGTGTGGCTGAACCTTATTGAAATTTTTTTGAACTATAAAATAGAGGCAAAACAGAGGTGTATGTGTCCTAATTGCATGAGAAAAACAAAGAAAAATAGTGCTTAAAAATTTGACCTAAAAA